GCCTTGCCGGGCGGCGCTGGTGTGCGGGGCGCGGGCGCTGCCGCTGCCCCGGGGAGGAGAGTCCTCCTGCTGGATAAACGTGCAGGTGCGCAGGAAGCTGATGCGGGTTAAGGTCTCGCATTGTCAGGGCTCGCGTCACAGCTCGCCGTCACAGGGTCTGGGGAGAACTCGTGCGCTTTCACAGAGAGCAGTCGGCAACCGTCCTCGGAACTTTGTAGGGCTTTCTGCTCAGATACCGACCAGTAAAAAACAAAACAAAACAAAACAAAAACACCCTAGCATTGCATCTTATGCTCTGACGTTTTCACGAGCACCTTCATGTTGTTCCTGGGGGTATACGGATGCGGCTTCTCTTGAGGCCTATGTGCTTGGAGCGATGCTGGTATTGCAGGGTTATAAAGGCGATGGCCACATTCAGTCCCCTGTTCTTCAGCTTCCCTCAGTTGGTGTTGGAGAGTTGAGGCAATGCTGTGTTAAGGGTGAGACTTAGAAATGAAATCTAACGGCCGTAAATGGCTTCCAATAATTTGGGCCTGTGGCATGTAATTCTTATAGGTTATTCTGAATGTCTGAGAACATTAGGGTTTTTTTCATGGAACCTTGGAAACCTTGTTGCAGAAGACTTTGAAGATCTTGGCTGTGCCCAAAGCTGGGTGTGTTTGATATGGAAGCTGAAATTACTTTTAGGAACTCTGTGTGTTGTACTGTAGCTGTGGCATTGAATGTCTGGCTCTTCGGAGCTCTTATGTGACACGATAGCTGGACTGGGCCTTTGCGTACAGGAGCTGTTGGGTAGGTCAGTCGTGGTGCATCTTCTAAACTGAAAGAGGGTAGATGCAGATGGGCGTAAGGAAGACATTTTTTACGAGGAGGGTGATGAGACACTGGCACAGGTTGCCCAGAGAAGTTGTGGATGCTCCATCATTGGAAGTGTTCAGGGTCAGGTTGGATGGGGCTTTGAGCGACCTGCTCGAGTGAAAGATGTCCTTGCCCGTGGGAGGGGGGTTGTACTGGATGATCTTTAAAGGTTCCTTCCAGCCCAAACCGTTCTGTGATTCTGTGGTCTTCAGAAGCAGCATACCTGGGTTTTACGTGCTTTATAGCGGTCTGTTAACAAGTCGGAGTTGGTGTGCTGTCAGCGGGTTGTGTTTGGGTGATGTTTCTCTGCGTTGACAATACCTATTTGCTAAGGGCGTTCATCTCTTTTAACACAGTGTATCCCCATGATCACTTCAGGCTAGCACCAGGTTGCCTTACTGCGAATGTTTGTGGTATGAACTCAGCTGGGGAGGGCATCCAGGTTAAAAATAAACGTAGGGAAAAGCTTAGTTTTTTATTGGACTTGATCTCTGAGAGTTGTGTGAGCTCAAGGAGGATGGGAGACTTCAGAGGGCTTTAGGGCAGAAGTAGTTTGTGTTGGTTTCAAATACCTGTGATACTAGACTTAGGATGCTGTGGGATCTTTGTAACTTGCTTCAGAGTGGGAGTTCACAAAAGATCCTGGTGGTGCAACATTTGCTCAACAATGTGAAAAACTGAATGTGCTGAACAGGATGGAATGTAAATATTTGAAAGCAGATCATGGAGTGTGTGAGTGTTTTACTGAATTTAGGCTTTCCTATACACGGGCTTCCCAATGCTACTTTGAATTGTGCCCATTAATGCCCTTTCTTAATGACTGACCTACAACTGTGAAAGATTTGTCATTCCAGCTTCTCATGGTAGAAGCTGACCTGTGGGATGCTGGAGGCACACTAGCTGCTCTGGTTTTATTTTTCACATGGCTGCATATTGTGAGAAGTGCTTTTTTCCTTTCTAATAGGTGGGTAAATCAATAGCAATATACAAAGCTTTCTTACTTTGGAAAAAAGCTTGGTTTATTAAATGGTATGAGATACATCCTTTCTAGGTTATTTCTTGGGGTTTCCATGTTCCTTTAAGTTGGAGCAAGTCTTTTTAGCTGGTAATATTATTTATTTATTTTTACTGAAGAACAGAACAAAGCATACATAGAATCATAGAATCGTTTAGGTTGGAAAGATCATCAAATCCAACCGTTAACCCAGCACTGCCAAGGCCAGCACTAAACCATGGCCCTAAGCACCACATCTCCCCGTCTTTTAAATAC